TTAAAGTGAGAAGTCAATTTTTTATGAAGAGAAACTCATAATTCTTCACTCATAAGTCCCTTCCTTGAAAAATCCGAATTCTTCACCTACGGAGAAGTGAGTGAATTCTTGTCAGACTATCCAAGTCTGATTTAGCCAGGCTCCGGGGAAGATCCCTTCTCCCGAGGCTCTGGGTATGGGGTGATGTGGCTGGTGCGGCACCTGCTGGCCTTTTATGGAACTGCAGAGACCTACGGGACCCCGGTGTTCCTTCAAATGTTTGTCGAGCGCCTACTAAGTCCCAGGCACTGTCCTAGGAGCTGGAGAAGTGCGGTGGCCAAAATGACAGAAATCCCTGTCTTCGTGGAGCTAATACACTAGAGTTCACCAGTTCCTACACCAGCATTTTATAGCCAGGAAAACTGAGGCTCAGAAACGGATAGCACCATACTCCAGTTCACGCAGCTGGTCCACCTCAGGGAATCAAATCTGTGCCATCATGATCACCATCAGCATTATTATTAAAACAAAAATAAATAAACCGAGTTACTCTAGACTACTAACCTAAAAATTGGCGATTGAAATATATCCCTCTGCACTGCAGAAGAAAGGCCTGGCAATCTTCCATAAACATCACAGCCAAGAAAACCCTATGGAGCAATTCTACTCTGTAACACATGGGGTTGCCATGAAATTCCCTTGTTGGCAACAGGTTTGGGTTTTGGTTAATCATAACCTAAGACGTCCCTGGGTGGTCCTTGGCTACTTACTAACTGAAATGTTGGTGGTTCAAATCCACCCAGCAGTGCTGCAGAAGAAAGGTCTGGTAACCTCCTTCCATAACTGTTGTGTGCAGTCAAGTCTATTCCGACTCATAGCAACCTTATAGGACAGAGTAGAACTGCCCCATAGGGTTTCCAAGGCTGTCATCTTTACGGAAGCAGACTGCCACAGCTTTCTCCTGCAGAGTTGCTGGTGGGTTCAAATCCCTGACCATTCGGTTAGCAGCCGAGCACCCACTGTGCCATCAAGGCTCCTTTCCATAAGATTACAACTATTGAAAACTCTATGGAGTGCAATTCTACTCTGAAGCACATGGGGTCGCCATGAGTTGGGACTGACTCAACAACAATGGGTTGGTTTGTTTTGTTTATCATAACCTAAGTCGGTGATTCTTTGAAAAGATGTCATTCCCCCACGTGAAACTCTTTAATCGCTACCATCACAGAGTAAAAGCCAGTTTTCACCACAACTGACAAATCCTATCATCTAGACCCTTTCACTCCTCCGACCCCATCTCCTAATCCTCTGCCCTCACATACTCAGCTCTGGCATACAGGTCTCCTGCTGAACACACCAGGCACGTTCCCTCCTCGGGGTCTTTGCGTTTTGCTGATCCCCTTGCCTGGATTTCCTTTCCCCACATGATCACGTGACTCCCTGCCAGCCTTCACTCTGGCCTCCGCTCAAATATCACCGCTCAATGAAGTCTTCCCTGACCATCCGGTTTAAAATAGCAAGTTCTGTCACTCTCTCCCCTCACCCTGCTGGACTTTTCTCTAGCACACTGGTGACCACCTGACATGTTCGATCTCTATTTGCTTATTGTCTGTCTGCTCCCGGAAGACTATCAGCTCCATGAAACTATCGACTTTGTTCCTGATCATCGCTGTATTCTTAGTGCCTAAAGAGTTCCTGGTAATGCTGACGGCGTAGTGGTTATAGAGCTACGGCTACCAGCCACAGGGTCAGCGATTCGAATTCACACGGCGCTCTTTGGAAAGCGTATGGGGCAGTTCTACCCTGTCCTGTAGGGTTGGTGTGAGTCGAAATCAACTCAACAGGGATGGGTTTGGCTTTGCTTTTTAAAGAGTGCCTGGGAGCCCGGATGGCGCAGTCGTGCAGCACTTGGCTGCTAATGGGAACATCAATGGTTCGAACCCACCAGCCGCTCCTGGGGAGAAAGGTGTGGCAGTCGGCTTCCATAAAGATTACGGCGTAGAAAACCCTATGGGGCGGTTTAACTCAGTCCGATAGGGTCACCGTGAGTCTGAGTCTACTTGGCAGCAACGGGTTTGGTTTTTTGGTTTGAAAGAGTGCTTGGCACATAGCAGAAGCTCAATAAATATTTGTGGGATCGATGAAAGAATATTATTACTGTATTATTTCTATCGTTCTCTGATCCTCAGTCTCCCCTTTTGTAAAACAGGACTAGTACAATTGATCTCACTGGCTTATTGGGAACTGTAATGAGCTGATAAATATAAAACAGGGCCAGGCAACTGGGAGGCGCTCCGTGAAGGCTGTTTCAATCTCCAACCTGTTTCCTGCCTCCAGTACAGGTAGCAAGCATGGGCTTGGGGGCTGTAGCCATTCCTGGCCCCATCATCTCAACCAGTTCTTCTTCCGCCATTCTTTGATCTGGACAAACGGACAGATGGCAGAGGGGGTCTGCAGAGGGGGTTCTGTCTTATGGAAAGTGTGAATAAAAGCATCTTTAGGGAATCTTGCCATTTTTTAATGTGGACATTTAAAATATTCTAACTGCTTAGTAAATTCAGATTCAAGAGAAGCACTCTGTTAAGGATTGAATTGTGTCCTCCCAAACGATATGTTGAAGTCCTAACTCCTGTGCTTGTGAATGTGACCTTGCCTGGACATACGAAGGATGCTATCAGTTCACATGAGAAAGAGCAAGAAAGACAGAGAGAGAGAAGACATATGGCCACATGAAAATGGACACAAAATTGGAGTGATGTGTCTACAAGCCAAGGAACGTGAAGGATCACCAGCCATCACCAGAAGCTAGGAGAAAAGCGTGGAACAGATCCTCCCTCAGGAGAAATCAACACACCCAACACCCTAACTTGGACTTCTAGCCTCCAGAACTGTGTTCTTGCAAGCCACTCAATTTGTGGTAGTTTGTTCCAGCAGGGAAACCCTAGTGACTTGGTGGTTAAGAGCTACAACTGCTAACCATAAAAGTTGGCAGTTCGAATCTATCAGGTGCTCCTTGGTAAACCATATGGGGCAGTTCTACTCTGTCCTATAGGGTCAGAATTGACTTGACAGCAACCGGTTTGGTTTTTGGGTTTTGTTCCAGCAGGCTTAGGAAATTAATACATAATCTCAGCCCTTTCTGTTTTAGTTGGATAGCTGCTGCTGCTAGACCCCACGTATATACAAGGTCTGCAGCTGTAACTACTACTCGGGACACCATTATCTATTTCCTAAAACCTGACATGCATCACTGGGGGCCAGTGAGATGATTTTAGGTGGTGCACGAATAAATATTTTAAATGTTCATTGTTTTGTGTTTATTTTTACTGGTATCTTCTATTTCTGGCAAGCAACGCTGGTTTCCTTTTAAGGGTGTGAAGTAACATTTCCTCTTAAAAGATATTTATTTTAGTTTTTTAATAAACCTGATTAAAGAAAAATGTTAGGTAAATTGCAGAATAGGTGGTGGATCATGAAGGAGGTGAGGAATGACTGAAGTTTGGGAAATAATGTCATAGCTAATGATAGCAGCTTCTGTTTAGTGGGCATTTATTATGTGACAGGCCCTGTGCCAAGGGCTTACATCACGATATGGTTACGGTGACAGTTTTCTGGTTGAGGAAACAGGTTTTGAGAGGTGAAGTCACTTGCTCAAGGTCACAGGCCCAAAAGGTAGTGGGGCTAGGATTCAAATAGATGTGTGGGACTTTATTTTGTTTAGACGAAGGTTTACGGAGTAAATTAGTTTCTCATTAAACAATTAATATACATATTGTTTTGGGACACTGGTTGCCAAGCCCACGATGTGTCAACACTGTCCCCTCCTCGACCTTGGGTTCCCCATTACCAGCTTTCCTGTCCCCTCCTGCCTTCTCGTCCTTGCACCCAGGCTGGTGTGCCCATTTAGTCTCGTTTTGTTTTATGGGCCTGTCTAATCTTTGGCTGAAGGGTGAACCTCAGGAGTGACTTCAGTACTGAGTTAAAAGAGTGTCCAGAGGCCATCCTCTCTGGGTTTTTCCAGTCTCTGTCATACCAGTAAATCTGGTCTTTTTTCGTGAGTTAGAATTTTGTTCTACATTTTTCTCCAGCTCTGTCCAGGCCCCTCTGTTGTGATCCCTGTCAGAGCAGTCAGTGGTGGTAGCCTGGCACCATCTAGTTGTGCTGGACTCAGTCTGGTGGAGGCCGTGGTAGTTGTGGTCCATTAGTCCTTTGGACTAATCTTTCCCTTGTGTCTTTGGTTTTCTTCATTCTCCCTTGCTTCACACGGGATGAGACCAGTAGAGTATCTTAGACGGCCACTCACAAGCTTTTAAGACCCCAGATGCTACTTACTGAGGTAGAATGTAGAACATAGTCTTTATAAATTATGTTATGCCAATTGAGCTAGATAATCCCCATGTGTGGAACTTTAGATTCATCTCATCCTGCCTCCCTCTCCCCCAGTTTACAGCTTTGGCGACTGAGGCCCAGAGAGGCCATGACACCCTGTACTTGTTCCTGAGGTAATTGGGATGGAGAGAAGGGGATAGAGGAGACACTTCTGGGAGGTAGAACGGACAGGGCTTGGTGGCTGATTGGATGTGAGGGGTGAGGGAGTGGAAGGAGTCCAGGGCCACACCCAGGTCTCTACCCCTGTGACAAAGTGGGCAGTTGCAACATCCCTGAGTTGGAGGTGAGGAAGAATGAGAGGGAGTTTTGGCTATGACAAGGAATTCATTTGTCCAGAAGGCCGTTGGATACGTGGGTCTGGGGCTCAGGTGAGAAGACTGCCAACAGGCAGAATGCAGGGCTTGATTAGTGACGTCTGCTATGAGCACAGGCATGGAAAGTGGCTGCCAAGGCTAAACTCCGCTAGCCCTGGGATAGGTGGTTTCTCAGTGTCTTCCCCCTAATCATTCCATAATCTAAACAGATGGCAGAGGGGGCTTCTGCCGCAGATACAGGGAAAGTTCCTTCTTATCACTGAAGCTTTTTTCAGTGCAGGAAAGTGAAAGTTGGAGAAGACGGGAAGCACAGGAGGCCTCGAGTTTTCCACAGGAGACTTTATTACAGTGTAAATCCAAGCTCAGGCTTCCCCTGGGCCCCATGCAAAGCCCCGGCGCGGGGACCGGTGGTGTCCAGGAGACACCAGCCCCTCACGGCGCCTCCAGTGGCGGGGTCGCGGAAGTGCAGGGCGGGTGCCCTGCCTAGGCAACTACAAGTCCCAGCAGGCCCCGCGGCCAAGGTGCCTCATCTTTCCTGGACTCTTAGAGTAGAGCCTCTTGGGAAATGTAGTCCTGGCCGCTCAGGCAGTTTGCCCAAACTCCTGGCGTGAGGGATCCTAACACACACCGGGAAATGGCTTGGGCCAGGGAGAAGAGGGTGAGTATGGAAGGGAGATGAAGGGGGCAGAAGGCTGCTGGGGATGGGGGCAGGCCTCCCCCAGGCAGAGACACCCCTCTCATTCGGCTTTGGCTTTGGATCCGGAAACAGCAGCTGCTGCAGAGGCAAGGGCTCCGGTCCCTGGGATCTTAGCTCGGATCCTGAAGGAGAAACGGGTGGGGTGACAAGGTGGGGCAAGAAAAGGGGTAGGTATCTGAGAACTAAGAGGAAAGCTGGTTAAGTGAAAGAGTGCCCAAAGCCAGCCCAGCACCTCCCCGCACGCGCCACTCCCTCCCCAACCCCCACCCCCACCCCGCACACACAGTCTGCATTGGAACTGCCTCTCACTAGTCTCTGAGAATAGGGTATTCAGGGAGAGGGCAGAGTGTGGGGATTGATTAGTGATGTCTGCCTTGAACACAGGCAGGCCAAGACGCTGCCAAGGTTAGGTTCCGCTAGCCCTAGGGTGGGCGGTCTCTCAACGCGCAGGGAGACACGGAGTGTATTTTAAAAAAGCTCCCAATCTTCCCCCTCCTTCCAACTCCAACCCATGCCCTTACTTAGCTTTGATGTGGCTCAACTGATTTGTCACCAACCCCACATACTGGTCGATCTGGACCTGGGAAGACCAAAAGGGGTGAAAGGAGGAACTGGAGGGTGTTCTTCTGTTTAGTTCCTCTAGGAGGCTGCTTCCTTCCCTACCTCCGAATCAGGAGCTAGGGGAGTGACCCACCCCCCACTTTCAACTCTAAACTTAATAGATACCCTTGTTGTGTAGTGGTTAAGAGCTACAACTGCTAACCAAAAGGTCAGCAGTTCAAATCCACCAGGCGCTCCTTGAAACTCTATGGGGCAGTTCTACTCTGCCCTATAGGGTCATTAGGATTCGGAATCAACTCAACAGCAATGGGTTTTTTGGTTTGTTTGTTTTGGAAGTCCAGGGGTCAAGCTGTAGAGTCAGTTGGTTGGCCACACAGAGTTGGGTGTGAAGAGTGATGTCAGGCAGACACAGAAGTATCTTCCAGCAAGTCTGTGTACTAGGCACAGCTGTTAATCTTCAGGTGAGTTTGTGTGTGTGTGTGTGTGTGTGTGTGTGTGTGTGTGGTGTGTTTAGTGATAGGGTGGGAGTAGAGGGCATTGATGTTGCTCAGCCAAGTCCATGACTGAACTGATTAATACTTGTTTAATTCACAGGGAGCCCCTGGGTGGTGCAAATGATTAACATAGTCGGCTGCTAACTGAAAGGTTGGAGGTTTGAGTTCACCCAGAGGTGCCTTGGAAGAAAGGCCTGCCAATCTACTTTCCAAAAATCAGCCTTGAAAACCCTGTGGAGTACAGTTCTACTCTGACACACATGGGGCTGCCACGAGCTAAAATCGACTTAATGGCAACTGGTTTTTAAAATTCCCAGTGTTAGTTGACTTTGTCTCAGTCGTTCAGGCGTGGGAAGGGGTTAGGCAGGACTGTCTCTCTGGCATGGACCTGTATCGTTTGCTCTCGGCTGCACTAGATAAAGAAGTGTCACTCAGTGTATCTGTGGAGAGGATGAATGTCAGGCAACCCTGGTTATGTCCCACCTGATTTTGAACTAGAGGTGAGTCTGTCCCTGGTGGCTGTCTCAGGGAGTAGGGGCACCAGTTAGTCTGTCTGTCTTGGTCTTTGGCTGGGATGGGTGTCAGTCAGGCCCAGGCTATGCTTAGGGAGTGATGGCATCAGTCTGTCTGTCTGTCTGCATCTGGATATGTGTTTGTCAGTCGCCGGTGGAATTGGGTGGAGAGGGCATTAAGCTGTCTGCCTGTTTCTGGCTAAGACAAGTGTTGTTCAGCCCCAGCTATGTTAGGGGAAGAAGACTCTCAGGTTGCCTGTCTCTGGCTGGGACATGACAGCCAGACCTTGGACCCCTCAGCAGGCAGGAGGATCCATCATCAGGTAGAAGCACCAGTTAGTCCACCTGCCTGGGGCTGGGGCACGTCAGTCAACCCTGGCTCTGTCAGGGGACACCAATCCGAATGTCCACCTCTGGGTGCTGGAACATATTTGCTAGACTCTAGCTCTATTGCTAGAGGCCTGGTGGTGCAATGGTTAAGAGTTCAGCTGCTAACCAAAAGGTCAGCAGTTCGAATCCATCAGCTGCTCCTTGGAAAACGTATGGGACAGTTCTACTCTGTCCTATGGGGTCATTATGAGTCGGAATCGATTCAACAGCAGCAGGTTAGGTTAGGTTTAGCTCCGTTATGCTCAACTGCTATCCTAAAGGTTGGCGGTTTGAACCCACCCAGCAGTACTGCAGAAGAAAAGTCCTGGCGATGTGCTTCTGTTAAGATTGTTGTTAGGTGCCGTCAAGTCGGTTCTGACTCATAGCAACCCCATGTACAACAGAATGAAATGCTACCCCGGCCGGCGTCATCCTCACAATTGTTGCTATGTTTGAGTCCATTGTTGCAGCCACTGAGCAGCCACTGTGTCAATCCACCTCACTGAGGGTCTTCTTCTTTTTTGCTGACTCTCCATTAAAATTACAGCCAAGAAAACCCTATGGAGCAGTTCTACTCTGTAACATCTGGGGTTGCCATGAATCGGAATTGGATCAACGGTAACTAACTGGCTACGACATCTGTCAATGGGACCCTGGCTCTGGCATGAGGAGCAGTCAGACCACCTATGTTTAGTTGGGGTTCTGGCCACTGAAGTCCTCGGGCATTCACCTAAGGAACCCTGGTGCCACAGTGGTTAAGCGTTCAGCTGCTAACTGAAAGGTCGGCAGTTTGAACCCGCCAGCTGCTCAGCAGGAGGAAGATGTGACAGTCTGCTTCGGTAAAGATTACACCCTTGGAAACCCTCTGGGGGTAGTTCTACTCTGTCCTATAGGGTCGCTATGAGTCGACTTGACGACATCGGCTTTAGCTGGATTGCGCTCAGCTGCTAACCTAAATGTTGGCGATTTGAACCCTCCCAGCAGTACTGCGGAAGAAAAGACCTAGCGATCTGCTTCCGTTCAGGTTATAGCCAAGAACACCCTATGAAGCAGTTCTACTCTGTAACACCTGGGGTTACCATGGGTCAGAATGGACTCAATGGCAGTGGGTTTTTTGTTTATTTGCTTTTCTAGCACTCACCTTGTGCTGCCGGTACAGCAGGGGGAAGGTGAATACACCGATCACTCCTGTGGGCACAGAGGTGAGGGGTCAGGCCAGGAGATTAAACAGTTCTTTCCCTGGGCCCATCCCCTACTAAACCCCACGCCGCTCCCCACAGCCTTCCCAACTCACCCAGAATGAGAAGAGTTAAACCATTGAAGACCGCGCCCACGAAAGTCAAGATGTAGAAGAAGAGGGCCAGCTGTGGGGGAAGGTCAGGGTCAGCAGAGCCACAGGGCACTCAGCAGGCTGTGACCTCACCCAGTGGTGGCCCTCTACCCCCGGGGCATGGAGGTGAATGTTGGGAAGCCTGAGGGCACCTTGAGGGAGTCCACGAAGTCTTCTACCAGGAAGAAATGCCGCAGCTGTGTGGCTGCAGAGACCACACGGGATGCGATCTGCTGAGACAAGCGCTCTGTCTGCTCCCGGGTCAGGGTCAGGTCCACATCCAGGTAGGCCCTGAGGAGACAAAGGGGTATGGGGTGACTCAGGGGGTGGACAGGGCTCAGGCTGGGGGGTATGGCTGGGACAAAGGTAAAAAGTGGAGGTCAGGGTAAAGACCAGGGTCAGGATTGGGGGATAAATTGAAGGAACCAAGTGTAGAGGGGTTAGAGTCAAGGTCAGGGTCAGGGGGAGGAACAAGGATTAAGGGTAAGAGGTTAGGGCTGGGGGTTAGGGGTCAGAGCCCAGTTTAAAGTCAGGTGAGAGTCAGAAAAAGGATCCAGAAGGGTCAGGGCCAGGATGAGAATTAGTGTCTGACTTGAGGTCGTGGGTTATGATTTACGGTCAGTGTTGGAATCTGGACTGGGGTTAGGGTTAGCGATCGGGGGTTCTCACTGGAAGGGGTTGGCGCCGTCCCCCCGGTGTACAGCCTGCAGCACTTTGCGGTAAACCCTGAGAGAGATGGTGCCACAGAGCAGCAACAGGGCCACGTGGGCGGCCACAGACACGATGCTAAAGTGCAGGAGGCAGAGCAGAGAGACCATGAGGCCCGTGAAGACCACTCCTGACGTCCTCGTGTCCTTCCAGTACAGCAAGTCCGCCACTGTGAAGGGGTTGGGGTGTCAGGCCATGCGTGTCTCCTCTTCCGCCCCTGCCCCAAAACCCAAGTTAACCATCTAGCAAGTCTCCTTCATCTTGCTGTTTGTGTGCTGTTGAGTTGATTTCAACTCATAGTGACCCCATGTGACAGAGTAGAACTGCCCCATAGGGTTTCCTATCTCCACAGGAGCAGATCACCAAGTCTTTCTCCCACAGAGCCACTGGGTGGGTTCGAACCACCGACTTTTGGTTAGCAGTCAAGCACTTAACCGCGTGCCACCAGGGCTCCTTTCCTTAATTTTACTCATATAATTATGTGTGGACACACATACACATACCGGTAACTTTTGCTTATTAGTTATGAAAAATGGAAGCATATATACACTTTTCTGTATCATGTTTATCTCACTCCACTTTGCCCTGGAGAAATCCCTCCTAGTCAGCTGGCATCAAGGAATAGCTATTGATTCATTCTTTTTAAGGACTACAGGCAGTCCTCGACTTACGACATACTCGAGTTACAAGGAAATGTACTTAAGACTGTCTGTTTCTGTGTATTTTTTTAATGTATGTCTGTATTAAAATATGTCTGTAAGTTTATCTGTAATGTTTCCAACCCCCAAAGACAAATAAACATCAGATTTATAAAGATACTGATAATAAAAGGCAATAATAAAGAAAACTAAAAAAAAAGAGCTATTCAGTCAGAAATGACTGATGACGGAGTCGTAGGAAAGGAACCCCATCTTAAGGCGAGGGCTACCTATACATGATATTCCGGGTGGGGCTGTACCGTCATTTACTCAACCATGCGCCTATTGCTGGGCCACTCACTTTGCCTCCTTTTTGTTTTCCCCACTACAAACAGGGCTGCAAGCAACATCCTTTTACAGATAGCCTGACCTCCTGGAGCTTCTATTTCTGAGATAGTTCCAGGGGTGGAATCGCTCGGTGAACCGGTTATGTATTTTTGACTGTCATAATTATTGCCAGATTGCTAAACGAGCAAGACCAGAACCATTCTCGTTTCCACCGGCAACGTATCAGAATGCTCTTTTCCCAACAGCCTGCCCAGCAATGGATGTTATCGCTTTTTAAAATTTTTGCCAGACTGCCAGATGCAAAGTGATTTCTCATCGATAACCCTCCCAGCACTCTTTTCTGAATCCGAAACGGAATAACACCACCACCCTCCTTTCTGAGCTGTGTCTCCAATTTCTGATCCCTTTCTGTGACCCTAAACTCTCGGGACCTCAAAGTTTCGTCTCACGCATCTAAACTTTAACAGCTCTCGCGTTAGAGCCCGAATTGTTCTCGCAGGTCCTTTCACTTTCCTTCCAGACCCTCTGCATTCTCCCGTCCTCACTCCAGTCATACTCTGATTCATCCCAACTAGTCCCCCTCAGAGTCTGACCCCTCTCACTTCTGTATCCGCCTTGTACACATCCTCCCATCCACCTTTAAGTAGGGCAGGCCCCCCACCCACCCAGAACGCAGGGTGCTCCCCAAAGGCTCCCCGAGGCCAGCGCCAGTGGGTGGGGGAGGGGCCGGGTCGCCTGAGGCGGGGGCTAAGTTTAGGCACGCTGCGGGGAGGGAGCCTTGCCCGCAGCTGTGCCAGCCTGTCCAGCCCCTGAGTGACAGCACCGCCTGGGCCCGAGGCTGGGGGAGGGGGCCTCTCTGCTTCTGAGCCCGAAGGCCCCGGCTCGGAGGAGAGGGGACCCTAAGCTCCCTCGGCACCCTCCCTACACAGCCCTTTAGCCCCCCAGACCCAGCCTGGAGCTCTGGGGAATCTGGAGACCAATGGGAAACATGCCCAAGACCTGGGGGAGGTGAGGGTGAATCCAGACTCCTTTCCTCCGTCCTCCAGCCCCCCTCCCAGTCTGCCCCAAAAGCCCACCTTTACTCCCCATCTTCGCTGCGAGTGAGAGGCTGCGGACGCCGCGGCTTCTCGGGGATTTTTGCCCACTTCGGTGGAACCCGGAGGGAGGGAGTAGGGGGGCGGGGCCCATATGCACCCAGCCAATGGCTGTCCACTGACGTGGGGACAGTTCCAAAAAGGGACGGGCTGTCTTTGTAAACAGACAAAAGCAGTGCTGTGGATAAGCAGCCCCTGGCTGTTCCCGGAGGCGGAGCATATTGAAAGTGAGGCAGGGTCAATTAGACAGGCCAAGTCAGGGAAGAGGAGAGTTTTTAAACGATGCGGGGTTTACTTATAAATATTCGATAGCCATATACAGAAGAGATCTTTTCCCCCCGAGGATCTGAACTGTCCAAAATCAGACTCTAGGGGGAGCATTCTAAACGAGGGTGGATTTTTTTTTTTTTTTTTTTTTTTTTTGAAGATCATCGTTTTGTGGAGTTTTTTTTTTTTTTTTTTTTTTTTTAGCAATCAGCCAATCCTAATACTTCAAGCAGAGCCAAAGTCTCAAGTGGGCAGGGAACTACATATAAAGAGCCAATGGCACCCCTCAGTTAACGGGAAAAATTTTAAGGGGCGGAGTTTATAATGCCGGGAGCATCACCTCCTCTCTTCAGCACTATTCTCCTCCTTTGAAGAGGTTGGCCTCTTTAAATCCCGCCCCTTGCGTTGCTATAATCCAACAGAGAACCTTCACTCAGGCTGCTTACCTAGAAGGTGTGGTTCCAATGTGAATTCTGATTGGTCTGTGCTATCGAGGCACTGCCTCGTGATTGGCTCCTGTTCTGGCTGCCTCCACGGCTCTTCCTCTTTCTTGTCCAGCGAGGGCTCATCAGGCCAAGAGTTCGAATCCCGGGATCTGGACGGGGACGGGGTACGAGCCTGGGGAGTCCCAGAGCCTGGGCTGGGCTGAGGAGTCAAGACTTTGGGCGGTGAGGATTGAGCAAGCCGGAGCTGTAGGTCCAGTTCTGGGGAGAGGGGTAGGAAGACAAGGCCGTGAGCTTTCTCCAAGGGGAGTGTCTTAAAGAGAGACACCCACCCCTCATGACCTCCGGCCCAGCCCCTCAGACTTCTCACCTTCCCCAGTCTCTCCTGCCTCCGATCTGTCAGGCTCCTCGTCTTCCAGCGGAGTGGAGCTGCTGGTGGAGGAGTCCTCCCCAGATCCCGCTTCCTGGGTCGCCCAGCCCAGTTGGTCCAGACGGAGCCGCAGGTCCTCCAGGGGGCGCTCAGCCGGAGAGGCGGCGTCGAGGGCACCGCGGCGTCCGGGCTCGGGGGACTGGCTCAGGCTAGGGATGCTCTCCAAGCTGTCGCCCAGTCCGGGCTGAGGGGGCGGGTCTCGCGATTCTGAGACTGAGCGGCTCTGGGGTCGGGGGCGGCGGGCAGCAGAGTCCCGGCGGCCCCCGGAGCTCACCACACCGTCGAAGGCGATGTAGGAGAAGGTCAGCTCCCGAGGGGTGCCCCAGTCCTGCGACGTGGTCTCCTCCTCGTCGTCCTCCGAGAATTCCCGGGCTGTGTGCAGCTCCCGGAAATCAGAGTCGTCGTTCCCTCCTGCAGCGGGCAAAGGAGAGCTGTGAACTTCCCAGCGCAGGACCCTGGAAGACTCTCCCCAAACCCCCTACCCGGCTGAGAATGCCCTTCAAGCCTTTTCCCTTACTTTGCCCCCACCTCACTTGCCTTCTGTGGAATCTGGGGTAGAGGAGGCTGTCGAAGGGGCTTCTTCTGCGAGAGGAAAAGAATCGAAGACTCTTAGAAGTTTGGACGGTCCGAATCATAGAAGTGTACCAGTCCTGGAATCTCAGATGGCCCAAATTAAGGAATCTTAGAAAGTTTGAATTATAGGCCCCTTAGAACATTCTGCATATAGACTGTAAAATCTTAGCAACACTGCCGTCAGACTCACAGTTCAAATCTAGGAAATGTAATCTTAGAGTCTTCAAATTAGGAATTTTAGAAGGTTTCAATCTATTCATTCTTTTGACAACCTTTTATTGAGCACCTACTATGTGCCAGGTACTGTTCTAGGTCCTGGGGATACAGTGGTGAACAAAACAGACACGATCTCTGCCGTCATAGAGCTTACACTCTATGGGGGAGACAGAGAGTAAACAAATAAATACATGATATTGAGTAAATATATGACGTGTATGGGAAAAATAAAATTGGATAAGGGACTAGAAAGTGAGGGGGTCCTCTTTTAGACTGGGTAGTCAGGAAGGCCTCTCTGATAAGATGACATTGGAGCAGAGACCTGAATGAAGTGAGGAAACCATGTGACTATCTAGAGAACAGCATTCTTCAGACAGACAGAACTGCCAGTGCAAAGGCCCCGAGGCAGGCATTATGCTGGCATATAGAGCATGTGACTGAGGGGGAGAGAGACGGCAGATGAAGGCAAGTAGATAAGGGGGGAACAGGTCATGTAGGGTCTTTTTAAGCTGAGTTAAGGACAAAATCTTAGAATGTTGGGATGGTACTCTAGACTATTGAAATAGCAAATTATTAGCATTTTGGCATCTGGGCTCTCAGGACATGTGAGTGGCTGGATCCGAAAATGTTAGAATCCCCAGCTGTCAGAATGCTGAACACGGACTGTTAGAGCCGTGGGATCCTGAGGATTTGACAAAGCGTTTTCAATTTTGGAATCCAGCCCCTCAGAGCTAGCTCGGGGCTTGGCACACAGGAGATGCTCAGTATTGTTTGGAAATTAAAATCGGAAGCCCTCCACCCCACTTCGTTTCCTCAGCTGGGGAATCGGAGACTCAGACCGGCGCAGGCCTCCCCCAGGGTTACCACTAATCAGTGGCAAAGCCTGCTAAGAATCCAGGAGTCCTGGCCCCAACCCAGGGATGCTTGCTGCTCTGGGACAGGGGTTTGGACGATTTGGGCGAGGTCCAGGCTGCCTTGGAGTCTAGGCAGAAAAGGTGGGTGGGATGCGAAGACAGGTGGGGGGGTCAGACCCCTCTCCTCCATTCTGGCTCTACCCCTCGGCTCAGCACCCCCACTTCCTGCTGGCTGCGGCCAGCACCAGGGCGATGGGACAGCTCCCCGCGCGCAGGCTCAGACCTGGCGGGGCCCAGCGGCACGTTCGAGGGGCCAGCGCGCTCCTATCCGCCCAGGCACCCGCTAGCTATGTCAGCGCCCTTCACCTCGGCCCCGTCTCACCCGGTCCTCCTGGTCGGGCCGCCCTGTCGCCGCCAGAGCGCGGGGGGAGGGGAGCACTTCCTTTGTCTCCTTCCCCCAGCCCGGCTCTCCCGCGGACTAGCGCGGAGGGGACACTGGGTAGGACCCCACCCGGGCCTCCGGGCCCCACACCGGGCCCGAGCCTCCCCCTACTCACTGCAGTGGGCGAAGACCGGCAGGACCTGCCCCATGGCCCCCCTCGGGCCTGCATCGGGACCCCCGCCCACTCCGGCCGCGCCGCCCTGGGCCCGGGGCCGCGAGCGTTCATCTCCGCCAGGCGCACGCCGCCGCCGCCGCCATCCTCGCCTTCTCCTCCAGGGCC